CACCGAAGCTTCTTAGGCTAACTATAACTTAGTTCCCACTAAGAAAATCCTTCTGTCTCTCATTCCTTTCAACTCTCTCTCTGGCCTCCAGTGACCAGCACTTTACTCTTACCTTCTATGAAGCCAGATTTTTTTTATATGTCATGTGCTTGTGACATATGATATTTGTCTTTCTGTGTCATATTTTACTTAACACAATGATCTTACAGAATATTCTGCCAAATTCATCAACTTTGTTCTGAATCTACCACATTGGCAAAATTCATAAATTATATTTATAAGAATGTAATAATCTATAAAATTACATAACTTGAATCACTGCCACTTACATTTATCAAAATGTAATAGTTGAAACTGATTGCCAGAAATTGAAAGGGGGAAAAATGATCATGTATAATGGCCAGGCCCACTCAATGACAGGGGCATTGGATGGGATCCATGCATTCTTTGGTAGCTAAAATAGCTGTCACATACACCTTCCCCTCCTTGACTGTATCTTCCCTTGGGAGTGGATTTGTGGGCAGATTATCAGGCCTCATCTGCTATTGTTTCCAAACCTGATGGTCCAAAATTGACTCGTAGATGGGATATATTCTAAAAAATCTTTTAGTCTAAGTTAACTGATGGTTGTAAAAGTGCTGATTTGCAATAATTTATTTTTTATTTTTGACAATTTCATATGTATTATCTTTGCATTATTTCCTTCCCTCTCAGAAAATTTCTCCACCCCCTCCCAATTTCTTGTCTTCTTTGTTCACTATTATTGTTGCATGTGTGTATATTTATATATTTACACACACACACACACACACATACACGGAGTTCATTTAGTGGTGCTCATGTTTATCTGTGTTTAGAGATGCCCATTTAGGATTAAATAAATTTCAGGGGAAATGGAAGGATGGAGTAGCAGTTAAGAGACCTGGCTGCTCTTGGAGAGAACCTGGGTTCAATTCCTAGCACCCACATGGTGGTTAACAACCATTTGCAACTCCAGTTTGCGGGGAACCATCACCCTCTTCTGGCCTCCGCAGGCATTGCATGACATGGATGCACTTATATACATGCAGACAATATAGTCTTACAAAAAAAATAATAAAAAAATAAAAATTAAATATTAAAAAAACTGTTCAGGGAACTACTCCCTGGAGAAAACTGAATCTCCCTCCCTCAGTATCCATTAATTGACTCTAGTTCTCCATCTTGAGGTGTGACTTTGTGACGTTTCCTTTACCCACCTTGGCATGTCAGCTAGTTTTGTCATTATGCAGATCTTGCTGGACCACCACACTGTGGAGACTTCATTGGAGTAACTTCCCTGCTGTGTCTAGAAATCATTGTCTAGCAGCACGTCTTGCCCCTCTGGCTCTTCCATTCCTTCCCTTCCCTCTTTTGAACCCTATTGTAGAAGTTGCATTGTAGATGTGTCACTTCCGGCTAGACATTTCACAGTCATTCATTCTCTTCATTTGACCACTTGTGGAATGGTTTTCATTTGTTTCAAAAAGAATTTTCTTTGAGGAGTGGTAAGAGGTACACTTGTCTGTAAATAGAAGGCTGCGTATTTAGAAGACAGTAGTAACTTACGCTGGTATAGGGAAGCCACACAAGCAGGTTTGTCTCTTGGGCTATGAGCTCTCCCTCCACATGTTCTTCCTTTGTTTACACTACCATGTGTGATTTCCCTCCCATTGAGCAGATCTTTAGTGAAAATATCTGCTTTTCCTCATAGTCCTGTGTGAGATAGCAGATGTGCTACTTTGCCCTTTACTTTAGTCAGAAATTAAATCAACTCAGTGAAAATCTTGATAATTCTTCATTGGTCTATACCTTTATTTTTAAAAAAGACCAAGGAACTGGAAATTTACCTCTTAATAAATGCAATTTATTTACTAGTTAAAAATTTTAAAATATGAGTTTTTTAAAATTTTATTTTGCTCTCCAGTTATTTTCTTAAAAAAACTTTGATGCTTGATAAAAATAAAACAAATTTTTAATACCATAGAAACCTTCTGACATGTACAATGACTTATAATTACTATGTATAACTCCAAAACCAAATCTTTCCAGTCCAAGTCAAGTCATGGTGAACATCTGAACTAGAGTCAAGTTGTAGGAAGTTTCTTGGACGGCCAATGATTTCCTTGGCTTGGAAAAAATTATACAGTTAAAAAATATAAATAAGACCCTTCAATAAGTTGAGAATCATCAAATGTTATCTGAAGCCCAGTTGTCTGATCTAGGAATTCTATAGAGTTGATCAGCAAGCAAAATGATACCTTGTGAATGTTCAAGCTTCAGTCTTCCCAGAGAGGTTCTATGTGTTCACAGTTAGTCTATCAAAAAACGAAAACTATTCCCTACTGTGGTAGAACTTGGTTTATGGTTCATATGCTGTTTTCCAGCAGCTCGTGGACTCCATTCTCATTGATAATTAAAGGTACATGAGATTCTTTATCTGCCACATAACTTTCTATTCCTTCTCCAGCATAGGAGATGAGGGGATAGATTTCACATTGGATTCGTCCATATTTGGCATCCTTCAAGTTGTAGTTGACATCAGCTGTGATGGTCTCTGACCTTGCATTTGTAGCACTGCAGGGAATTGCTGGGAGGTGAGAGTCATTTTCATCTATGAAGTGGCCTCCTGAACTGAGGACCCAGCAATGATGGAGGGACATCAAAGCATGCCTTGCAGTGATTGGGTTGTCCTTCCCATTCTGACTGTCTGCATGCTTAAGCGAGGGGGGCACAGACCGACGAACGGACAGACACAGGGGGAGGGGGGCACAATGGACACGACACGACTCGTCTTCCCATAATACTTCATACACTACAAACTTCTTTGCAAACTGGAAGATGTCAAAGACAAAATTTTCCATCTTTATTCCATTTAATTTCTCTGGCTTCATTAACTGCCCCTGGAAATCCACATATGGAATCTTCTTTTGAGCCACATGACGTTGCAACGGAGGCTCATAAACTGACAACATCGCTCAGAAATGGTACAGTTCCCTGCATTGAACAGCAGTGATCCATCTGAGCTTTGCTTTTGAGCTGTTGCCAGAGAAATCTCACTGTATTCTACTACCTGGTGTACTCCATCCACGCAGCAAACCACTCCAACTGATTCCGGGGGTTTGTTTTCTCTACCACCTGCACCCCACAGTCTGCTCCTTTCTGAACACAAAATCCAGTGATCCATGTGTCTCCTACTTTTACCAATATATTGTCCACATAACAGACATGAATACAAGAGCTGCTTCTCTGCTCCATAGCCTCCATAATGTTTTGGGCTGCAAGAGCCGGATAGAGACCACCATTCCCATCTGGAGCCATAGAGACTTTGTTTTTCTCTTCCAAGATAATTTTCCCACTAAAACTCATAGCAGGCACCACACCCTGTTGAAAGATCACACTCTCCTTTTTCAAGCCGAAGTACTTGTGTTTTGTGAAAACCTCCTTTGTGGATCCTGTTGTTCTACCACTTGTCATGATGTGCCATGCATGGAATGATGCATTTATTGCCATAATGCTTCTCAGCTAACTGCTGTAGCTTCAGGATACGTTCTGCTTGAATATGAAAAGTGTCTAATGGGATGGCAAACCAACATCACATATGCCCTTGGGATATGCAACTCCACGTCTTATCCCTTGCCCAGCAGCTAGAAGAAGAACTGCCATTTTGTTCAGGGAAGTCTGGAAAAGTCCTTCACTTTCCATGCCTACAGCTGATCTTGATATCTGGCAGCACTGTCCAGCACCTCTCGAGTCATGAGCTTCATTCGTGCATCCACTTTCTCTTGGTGAGAGGACTGATAAAATCCATCAATGGCCTTTTGGAAGAAGAAATTCAGTTCCTCAAAGTTCATCGCCTGGAGCTCTGCATAAAGTTCTACCTGCTTGGCTTCTTCCAGCTCATTCCAGAACTGCAGCAGGTGTTCTTGCTCACCTTTGGACAACCTGAGTTTGAGGGCATTATCCTTCATAGTGCTCTGGTAGCCAAGCTTTGTGAAAATAGGAGTGTGAGAGCTGTGAACCTTGGCTCTGCCCGCCTCGGGCTTCTTTTCGCTCGGCCCCTCGCCTCGCCCACCTGGAATATACACAGTCATGGGCAGGCGGGGCGGGGGGGGGGGGGGGGGCAGAGGCAAGGGGAGCGCTGGCTCTGGCCACACCAGCCCTCACACTGCGGAAATTTTATAATATGAATTCTTTAGAAATAATAAAATGAGGCCGTGGTCATATTCAAATTCCCCTCAAAACCCACTGGGAAATGACAGGAATCAAATAAGAAAAAAAAACAAATGAATCTACCTCCAATACAAATTAATAACATATCGATTTTGCGAGGAGGAAAACGTAATGAGGGAAGTACCGTGAAACATCATCTTGATCAGACACTAATGCAAAAGATAAATGAACATTTGTCAAAGTGTTTTTCGTCAGGGGTAGAATCCAACCATTTATGAAACTATTCTAAGTGCATTCTAAAAATTGAACAATTAAGAAAATAAAGTGAATAAAACAACAACAAAAAAATCCCTCCAGGGCTGGAGAGTTGGTTCAGCAGTTAGGAGCACTGACTGTTCTTGCAGAAGACCCAGGTTCGAATACCAGCATCCACATGGTGGCTAACAACCATCCATAAGTCCAGGTCCAGGGAATCTGTCACCCTCTTCTGACCTCTGCAGGCACTGTACAACATGAGTGAACTTACATACTTGCAGGCAATACACACATATACAGCAAACATAAATAAATAAATAAATAAATAAATAAATAATCTAAAAAAAGAACCTATGTTGTCTCAGATAGACTACCAAGATAGGGGGCAATTATATGATAAATTGATGTCCTTCAAACTACTGAAACTTATAAATTTGTTATTAAATAAATTCTGACTGTGGAAAGACAAAAAAGAAAAAATAGTGAAATAAAAATTTTCACATTAGGGAGTAAGTTAAAAAAAGGAAAGGGCCAATATAAACCCTTCTATGCTGCATTTCAATTAGTGGTATTGTTTGATATACAGATGATAAATATAGATATGTGGTGGATGACCACAAGGAAACAGAGTTTTGGAGACAGCTGGTCAATTATTCATATGAACTAACAGGATTGGTGACAGCATACACAAGTCCAATGCAAGCTCAAACCAGACAAAATCCAGCATAGAATGAGGAAGTGGAAAAGAAGCTCCAGTAGCACCTAAGGAAACTGTGTCAACAGATGGCTGCTGGGAAGGGCAGAGACAGTCTCTTTCAAACATGGGACTCTTGGTAAGTTAACCAGGCTCCAGAGGATTGATCCAAATGAAGGACATTTGGAGACACAAATTAGACTCTCTAGGTCTTATTTTATATACGATAGAGTACATGAAATTGGGCAGGGAGCCATTAGGGGAAGGGATCTGAATGCCATCCATTATATTTTATGAAAGTCACAAAAATTCAGTTAAAAAAATTGGGACTAGAGATGACTCAGCATTTAAAATCATGTATTCTTACTGCAGAGGATCCAAGTTCCATTGCCAGCATCTTAACCATGCGGCCCACAACTGCATGTAACTCCAGCTCCAAGGGAACAAATGATCTCTTCCAGCCTCCACAGTTCCCTACATTCATGTGACCACCCCTCCCACATGTACAAAATTAAAAATAAATTCATAGGCCTGTGTGAGTGTGATTAAACCTTGTCCTTATTTGACTCCTGACCCACTGTTTTCCTTTCTGTATCCCTGTACCCTTTCGAAATTTTTCATTGAAGTTTTGCAATTTTCTTTTATAAATACATAAAATTTATTATCTAATTTTTTATTTAATTAAAAATTTATTTTTTATTGAATTTTTGTGATTTTTCATATAATATAGTTTGATGATATTGCATATGATATGATAGAATAGGGGTATTTAATTGGGAGGAGACAAGGGAGAGTTATACAAGGAACCATGGGGGTAAAAGAAAGAAGAAGCTCAAAGTTGGGGGGGTGTCATAGGAGAGGTATTATCAGAGGGGAAATGAAGAGAAAGGGATACTTTAATGGGGAAGTTAGAAAATAGGTTAGGTGGGGAAAGAGAAAAGAGATGAATAATGCTTAGCAGGTGAGAAAAAAACAGAGCGAAATACATTAGTTCAGAAGTCTACTGAAAAATATACATACAGCATCTGCACATGAGTGTGTGTGTGTATAGTTGAAGGCTATATAAAAAGAAATAGTTCCAGAGAGGAGAAACCTTCATCAGGGCAGTCCAAGAGACACCCAAATTCACACAGGCTATTGCCATAGCCCTTGATTATCTACCAGAACTTGCAGGTAAGACCCTTTTGCTGAACACAAGACATACTTTGCACACAGGACTTGGAGCAATGGAGCTGGTATTGACCTGCAAGTTTTCTCCCTGAAGACTAGCTCTCATAGTTTTGGAGGACACTATGCAAGCTGCTAAGGAAGAAAAATCAATCAATGGCCTAACCCTGGTTTTAAAGCCTAATAATAACAACAATGACCAGCACAGCAAGCTGTATTGGTGTAGTAGTGGCACTTTTATCTTGGGGATAATCAACAGCTACTTAATTGGAGCCTGCTCAGTGGGAAGGAACTCATGTGTGGCACTGCAAACACAGACAAATATACATGGTTGGAGAGGTCATAGATATTAGAGAAAATGCTAAGTATCTGTCACATCCCTAGACAATGTAATTTCTTACCATATGCTAAATATGGATCCTTGTATTTACAGACCACTAGGCCAGTCACCACTCATCAAAGAAGTTTCTTGTGCAAAAGATGGAGACATTACAGAGTTCCACAACTGGTCACACACAGAGAATAAGTGTCTCTGAGATGCCCAATCTTAAATGACACATCTACAGTCGAACCTCTTTATCTAACATTCACAGAACATAATGGAACAAAGGGTAGAGAGAATACTAATGCATCTTTCTGCTCTCATCGCTGACGCTTCCTAATGCAACAGAGGACTATGAACACAAAAACCCACAACTGCCACAAGTGTAGAGAAAAAGAGAATGCAGAGTCTGGGTTCCTCAACAGAACTCCTATATTAAACTTTACTCACCCAGGGCTCAGGGGCCATTGTGGAAGAGGAGGTGGAAAGATTGTCAGAGCCAGGGGAAGAGGCACATGACCATAGAGAAACAGTTCTGCAGGCTCCTTGAATCTTGCTAATCTGAATTTTCACAATGGTGACAGCATGCTCAAGCCTCATTAAAACTCAAGCAGACTAAAACCAGCATAGAACTGGAGAAAGGGCCTGGAGAACACAACTTTGATGAGGAACTATTAGCAGTTGATCACTGCTGGGTGAGGGTGAGTTGATCTTCTCTAAGGGAGTAACGTAGACAGGTTGAATAGGTTCCTGTTGAAGAACTCACAATGAAGAATATCTGGGTACACAAACTTGACCCCACAGGCCTTAACATATATGATAAAATGCTTGAAGTCCTGTGGGTGGGACACAGGGGCTGTGCAGACAGGGAAGAGGATCCTAGATATGATTAAGATGTATGAAATCCACAAATTTAAGTAAAATATATATTTAAAACGATGTAATTTGATAACATTTAAGACCTCACCCCAGACTCACCTCTCCCCACTTCTCCTTGCCCAATTCAATATACTTCATTATATATGCAACATGGGCTATAGAGTCTGATTTGTGTCCCCACATGTCACTCAGCATAGGCCCATCCATTGGAGCCTGACCAACCAACCAATAATCCCATCCCTATGAGAGACTGTCTCTCCCGCTCCCAGAAGGTATCAGTTGCCTGAAGTTCCTTAGTTTGGCTTGGGATTTCTTACCACTGCCTCAGGTCTACGCTGGGATTTTGTCTGGTTTGAATTTTATTGGGACTTGTACATGCTGTCATCACTGTTGCAAGTTCATATGAAATCCTGGTTTCCCTGTGGCCATTCACCACTCTGGCTCTTACAATATTTTGACCCCCTCTTCCACAAAGATCCCTGTGCTTTGAAGGGGGCAAATTTTTGAAATAGGTGCCCTATTCAGGGATGAGCACTCTTTAGCCTCCTGTTCTATACACCAGTTGTGGGTTTCTGTGTTGATCATCATCTGCTGCATAAGGAAACCTCTCTGATGAGAGTTGAAAGATGCACCCATCTCATGTGTAGAGGGTGCACTGAAGATGTGTCTCTTAGGACTAAGCATCTCACAGACTCTTATTCTCTGTGCTTGACTAGTTTTGGAACTCTACATTATTCTCCATCTATTTCAAAAAGAAGCTTCTTCGATGAGTGGCGAGAGGTACAAAAGACTCTAAATATGAGGATGCATATTTAAGACACGGTAAGAAATTACATTAGTCTAGGTATGCGGCAAGAATAGATTTTCCCCTGGAATCTATGACCTCTCCAGTCACGTGTATTTGGCTGTGTTGGCAGTACCACACCTGAGTTCCCTCTCATTGAACAGGCCTTAACTTTAGGCAAATGTTGATAACCCCAAAGATAAAATTACCAGTGCTGCACCAATAGTTTAAACCTGGGTAGGACCATTGATTGGTTCACTCCCTTGACAGCTTTCATAGCATCCTCTGATACCATGAGAGCTAGTCTTCAAGGAGGAGATTTCCAGGTCAGTGACAGCCCTATTGTTCCCAGTCTGGAAGCACAGCCTGTCTTCAGCAGTAGGGTCTTACCTTCAAATTCTTGGAAAGAACCCCAGATTGTGACAATAGCCTCTCTTATTTTGGGAGTCCCTTGGACTACCTGATAAAAATCTCAAAGAGAAGATTTTCCTGCTTGGCATTGTAGAGTTTGTTGTTGTGTTGTTGTGTTGTTGTTGTTTCACAGCCTTCAGTTATACAGCCCTATATATATTATATGCGTATTTTTCAGTAAGGGTTTGAGCTAATATAAATCCCTCTGTTGTTTTCACACTATCAAAGCATTATTTATCTCACCTCTCACTCCCCCATATGACCATCCCAACTCCTTCCCCAGCTA